AGCTTGTTCTGTACAAAAAAAAGAAAATGATCCAAAGCATGCCATACTGCCAGGAGCTCCAATATGTTGATATGGTAGGATCTTTCAAGCAGAGACAAGTGTCCTGAAGCCTCCTGCTGATCGAACCAAGCCCCCAACCCCGAAAAGAAGTAATGGTAAACAGATACAAATCCAGATGAGGGGAGAAAGCATTACCCCAATTGTAATGATGTCTTTGTACAACCACCAATCGAGATTGTTCAGGACAGAAGTAAATAGGGTAATTGGAGAGTCCAAAAAATCCCAAATGATGTCCACTGAAGAGAAGGCATATGCCCACGACCTAAAGGAAGAAGTGCTTCCATGGAAGCTCGAGTCTCTAAAAGTGTTAGAAACTTGTGTGCAGGAACAGAGGGAGAGGAAAGGGCATGGAAAACTGAAATTTCCATTGAACGTATATGCCATGGAGAAGGTTGGGCCTAACTGGGGTAAGTTTGGAAAAACACACCAAACTGAACAATATATTGGGTAGGTATTAAGATAGACTTTTCCATCTTGAGGATCAAACCCACTCGAGCTGCTTCTGTCAAGAGAAGACATCAGTTCAGAAGGAGCTATCAAAAGCCAGTCATCCATGAAGTGGTAGAAACACAACTCTCAAACATGCATAAGATGGGCAAAACTTTGATTACCCAACAAAACACCTAAGGTGCTGAGGCAAGCCTGAAGGGTAAAGCATGAAATTGAAACACCACCCTGTTGTGGACAAACCAAAGACAGTATCTGAATTTAGGGGACAAAGGAAGATATAGGTAAGCATCCAAGACATCTAACTTGATCATCCACAGATTTAGAGAAAAAGCCCACTGAAAGGTAATAAAATATTCCATGATAAAGCAGGGAAGATCCAGAAAATAGATGAAGTGGGACAGATTGATCACAGAATCCCAGTCTTCTTGGAGATGATAAAAAAAGCTACAAATAAAATCCTGGAGAAGGAAGACATACAGGCTCTATGGCATGCTGTGAGAGAAGAGTCTGAACAGCCTTCGACAGATGCTGACTGGTAATGAAAAGGATACTGGACCTGGATACAATAGAGGTGTGGAGAGGAATTGAAGAAATAGTCTATCTGACAAAACTCAGATCACCCACACATCAGGAGTGAACTCCCACCACAAGTGAACAAAATCAGACAAATGTGCCTGTAATGGGCCAGAAGCCAATGGATAGTCACCAGAACTGTTGGTGGCAATGAGTATGACAGCAAGCCAAACAATGAACCAACAGACTCTTGGAGGAATGAAAAAGCAATGAATGGGATGGTGAAGGATGGGTATAGGTATAGAGGATGTATTGGAAAACGCTGAGACAAAGGAACAACTAAAGTAAAAAGGGTTGAGTGTTGCCTCGCATATTCCACATGTGACTCCAAAAACAGACTTATGGAGAAAAGTAGCCATCCACAAGTCAAAAAGATATGTGGATGGTAGATGAACCTGTGACAAGACAGTGTCCCTACCAAGGAGATCCCAACAGCAAAGAAACCACATGTGAGGGGATAGGGCCGAGAAGGATAATCATGCCAATATGGAGGTAATGAGGGACTGGTATCCTCTGAAAACTCCTCAAGGGATCAGTCGAGATCCTCAGAAAGGAAGTGTATGGATGAAGAGTATCATGGAAAAGATGTAAGGGTAAGACAAAGATGGGAAAACTGGGCTTGGGATAAATGTATACAATTTTCAGGGTCTGCCCCTACAGTCAAAAGTGATTCAATTTACTATGAGTCAAGAAAAACATTATTGGCCTAATGGTAAATCAATGCATAGTTATCTAAAGCCTGTGGAGGATGAGGTCTGCTGCCACCCACCCTCAACTGAGAAACAAAATGCTCAGCATGTAATATGATATCAAGAGAGAGAGAGAGGAAATCAATGTAATCAGACAGATAAAACATAAAAAAACCTGAAAAACCATATCCTGGCTGATTCCTCAAGAGAAGAAAAGCATGCACGGCTTAGGTTAGAGGTGGAAAAAAGGCTGTCAAAATTTTCCTTTTCAGGAACAGGCTCTACAGGGACAGGAGGAGTCCAGACAGTATGTGGAGAAAAGGGTTGACTCATGTAAAGTTCAATCTTGTTACAAATGATGGCCACAAAATTTTCAGCCAGTACCCCTGATCCTGAAGCCTGTGTCATGACACTCGAAGTAGTTTTAGCTGGAGATGAAGTCATGACATGAAATTCAAGATACATAATCGACTGTGAATGAGTTGAAATCCAAGAAAAAGTAGGAAAAAATGAAAAACCAAATAAAAGTTTACATGACAATAAACTACAGTGAACAAACAGAAAAAATACCCAAATAAATCAGCATAAACTAAAAACGTCTGCACTAGACAACTGTTTAACAAGAAGTGATACTTAGGTTGATTCAGATTAGAGGGAGTAACGAGAATCAGTAGTGTGCCATGCTCCTATTGATGGAAGGTTGTCACATCATAATTTACATGCAAAGATGTTTATCATGTGGTAAGTGGGAGTTTCAAGGTTAGTGGGATGTGAAAAACTGCATATAGAGGGCAGCACTGAACAGGAAGTTATAATAAGAGGAGGTAAGGTACCATATTAGAAAGTTATTTTATAATAACATGCAATATGTGGATGTTCAGATTTGAAGTAAAGCTATCAAGATGTATATATTGTGGCCATTTGTGTATAAACAATAACATCTCGTGTGTTTTGGTAAGTCTCAATCTAGTTAGGTCACATACATCAGTGGTTTCAAATCTTTTTCCAACTAAGAACAGCTAGTTCTGTTCCCTAAATTTTATGGACCACTTCATACATTATTAACTTTTTAAGTACAGTAGAACCTTGACATTAAGAGCTCCCTTCCAACTGCATACAAATACCCTCTATAGCAAGGTGCCCTTAATATCAAAAATGAGCCACACAAATTTGGATTCCATATTGACCATAACTAAATTTCTGAATTTTATGGTCCAATTTTGTTAGTGTATGCAGGACATGGTTGTTTGTGTGTTGCATGTTGTCATGACTTAGAGGGTTTTCAACAGGAGGTCTCAGGAGATGTGTTAGTTGCATCATTTTTTCTTTATTATTGGTCACAAAGTTTCAGAGTACTTCTCCTCAGAGTTTGAACTGCTAAACATTTCACATTTTTTTCTGTGTTCATTTTACTGTCAAAGACTGAAGTAGAAATCTGCTGAAAATAAAGCAACAAATCACAGATTGTGTTATTAGACTGTTTACATGACATTGTAATATGAAAGTTTCAAAAGCAACAAAGCACGTGCACAGAAATAAGTCAATTTGACCCCTGCTCTGAGAACACAATGTGGAATTTATCAGTTTATTTATCCTAAAGTGTTTACAACCAGAATTCTCTAGAGTAATAAGATTGCACTTTGAATCTCTGAAAACATTTATTAAAGTATATGGTTCAGAGCCAATCCAATAACCATTGCAAGTGTTTGAGTATTGGTCATCTTTCTGGGATGTTTGGAATTTAGCAGTATACCATACGGGCATACAAAGATAATTGCCTGCTTTATCAAGTGCTTGTATAGAGAACGAGACATAAGACATTGCCTTTAATCCAGAGTATCGAGGTTCCCATTACTGCAAGATTTATTTTGGTTACAAGTAGTAAAAAAAAAAGAGACTGAAAAGGTCAGCCTTCAATGGCACTGTGCCTCATTGTTTCAAGGTGTCCATTATTCGAGGTTCTACTGTACTTGTTTACTACATTTTAAAATAATATACTTCAATAGCTATATTTTAAAACAAACTTTTTTTCTTTAACTGTCTTGTGGACTGGTTAAAATTACCCTGTGGACTGACAGTTAGAACTAACTGACCTAGAACAGCTTTGACCACAGAGCATACGTAACCTGTATGATAAATGTCTTGTTTATATCCTGCTATGTATCCACAAATGGGCCCCGTCATTTATAGCAGTTATTTTCCATGACAGTACTGTTGTTTACATATTAGAAGCAATATTGAATTTGATGAAAATATATCAGCAACATGAAGCAACAAACATTCATTCTAGCCTCACTAAGCAAGTAAGTATGAAATTATATCAAATTCATACTCTTCAGTGTTTAACTACTTATGGACCAATTCTGTCAAATCATACAATCATTAAATTTATCTTAGTTACAAATAAAATAAATATTGCAATTTGATTATGCAGCTTCTTTGTGTAACAAAAAGAATAGAATATTTATTTTATTTGTAACAAAAATATATTTAGTATTTGTATGAATTTTTAGATATGAAATTCATTGTAAAACACTATTTGTTACATATTTTTAACTTTTGTAAGCTATTAGCTAAAAACCTCAAAAAAAGTATCCAATAGCTTTTTGTTCAATAAACTACAGTATTTTTTTAGTTTTTATTATAATGACACCATTCAAAAGTTAAAGGAATTTGCATATGATCATTGGCCAACATAATGTGAAAAAAATGTGATAAAATATGAAAGGAAATTGGGATTTTGTATTTATTATTCATCAAAAAGTTATATTTTACTTTTCCACTTTCACTATCTAGAACGGATGTGGAAAATGACTTCACTTAATGAGTAATTTGAAAATTTTTCTTTAGGGAGGTTCCTCACATCCTCCATGCTTTGACTTTCAGTCAATACTATGTGGATTGATGGATTGATCCACCCCTGGTTTAGGTGTTAAGATAAATCTACAATAACATAAAATAATGATTTAGGTTCACAATATACATTTTATGAGAACAAGTATTTTTATGATAGTAATGGAAAAATTGGAACTGAGAATACAAACATCTGCAGAAAAAGAAGGTATAAATGTGAATACTCCAGTAATGTTATAAACAATAACTGAATAAAAATGTTACTCTTGGTGCTCACAAACATCATTTCATTAGCAAAAAAGTATGGTCAGAAATTAGAAGTTATTTCCTTTAAAATTTCAATAATAAAATAGAAGGTTTTTCATTATTACTTACCATCAAGTAATGCATAAGTTGCTTTTACACTAGCTAGTTCTTTCTCCATTTCATCCATCAACCATGGTAAAAAGGTGTCTTCTACCTCTGAAAAAAAGAACAAAAACCAGGGACTTGATTTCACACTCAACCTAACTCAACTAAGTGTAGCCATTCTGTATTATAAAACTATAATAACCTATAACTTCATGTTCTTTTCTTAAACTGCAATAGTTTTGTTTACAATAATGTGAAAATGTAAACACATTATCCTTTCTCTTACCTTTGACTGTGTCAACTGAAAAAGCAAAAAATATTAAAAATTATAATCGAATAAGAATACGTGAATTGTCAAACGGATTAACTGCTTATCAATAACGGACAGTAATAGCCTCTGAAAAAATGATATTTTTACCAATTTCAGCTGAATCAACAAAATATCCATGGTCTTCCAACTTTGCATAGACAGATGGAACCAGATTTATCAGGTAATTTTGTGTATACAGGCAGGCTGTAGCTTTTTCAGTTGTTTCTTGTTCCAGTTTTACAGCTGCTTTCTGTTCTTGTATACGATGTTCCTAAAATAATAAAAATACATTCTAATGTTTAGTATCAAATGCTTATAACGTTATACTTTGAGAGTAGAGACTTATCAAAAATCACTTGAATATTCATGTTTTGCAATTAAGTTTATTGTTATATTTCTAAGCAACAGTGGTTTTTTACATGTGCATGTGTAAAACTAACAAGTGAAAATATTATTAAACAACATCTTATTTTTTGGATTCCATACGAGATGTTATTTCCAAAAAATAACAATCAAATTTTGTTCATACCCTTTCTTCTGATCTTCTTCTGTCTTGTTCTTCAAGTCGTTGCTGTTCAGCCAGCTCAGCATAACGATTTTCTTCATACTTTCGTTGTTGATTTTGAAGTTCAGCCAATTCTTCTTCCTCCAATACCTCTAAAAGTGCTTGTTCAACTGTCTGGCCCACAAGTACTTCCAGCAAAGGTTGTACTTCCATATCAAAATCAAATAACTGAAATTATCCCACTTTATTAGAGAAAATTCTGGCATAATTGTGTGCAACAGGTGATGACACAGACAAAAACATTTTGTATAGTTTTGCAGTATCTTTTATACACCACAAGAGTTATAACGTTCCAAACAAATTCTACTCAGTAAACTGTGCTGAATCAACTGAATAGATTGGGTTTCATATTATTTTACCTATATAAACAATTTCAGCAAGAAGAAAAAAAAATCTTTAAACAGAATTATTATTGGGACCATTGTGTTTAAAGGTTGCTTTAATTGTAACCTCTACTTATTTTCAAAATGATCAATTGCAAGGGATACTTCTACTAAAAAAAAAATGAAGGGACAATATATATTCAGATAGCTAATACCTTGTTCCCAGGCAAAAGTTCTTTTGCATATACCAAGCCCTTAAACAAGCTCTCACCCCTACACTTGATAATGTGGAACCACAGTAACCTTTCCTGCAATAAGCATTAGATTAAATCCCTTTACTAATAGAAGGGTGAGAAATTCACCTTGAAAACTTTATATAAACCACAATGTCATTCTTGATGAGAAAAAATAAATACAATAGAAGTGAGGAGGTAGAGACATTAGTTCTGGTTCATATTTTTAGATAAGGAATATATTAATTGTTACTCATCTCTCCACAGAACAAACAGCTATAACCCCACAGTGAGGTGATACAGGGAATTAAATTAACAAAATGAGATCTTTTCTGAGAATATGACAACAGATAAGAAGTGTGTCTGTCTCACTAGAGATGTGGACCTAGGGGAAATCATCACTCAATGAGAGATCGCTTCCATCTCAAGCAGGAAATACCCTTTGATCAATACAACTGGTTGTTCATAACAGTTCCATCAAAAAAAAAGTTTCTACTCATTGCTAAAGTGTTGTAAAAGTGGCCAGAATGCATAGGCTTATAAACTACCCTATTATATTCTAAGGGTTTGAAAGACCATATAAGTCAAGTATAGTTAGAGCAATAACTCTAGCTATAATATATATGAGAAATACTTACAAGCATATACAGGTTCAGGATTGAATCATCCTGAGAGCTCAAGACCCATCTGGCTGGTCACAATAACTGGAAATGGTCCAGTTCTTAGTGTTGGAATGGCCTAAACTATTATTCCAGGATGACACCCTTACCCTACTTCCACTCAGTCTCATATTAGTGGGATTATACTAACCCAAAGTGGAATGCTCCATATCAACACCACCTTCCAGAAGCTTGATAATGGGGAGGCAAGGGTTCTCCCACTCCACTAGATGAGAAGTGGAAGGAGGACTCTGCATAAGGGAGAACACAGGAAAGGTTCATGGACTGATCAGGATTTTTCTCATCTGCATAAGATCCTTCACTGAGAGACTGCAATGGGTTACCATGAAGAGGGACTGCAGGAGCCATCTACTTAAGTGACTACATAACCACACAGTTTTTTGTTGTTGTTTTATTACTACACTATAGAGTTTGGAAAGAAATAAAAATATACATACAGCTGATGTAGTCTTGTGAAAAATCTCAACAGTGAGCACTGAGTAGGGGCAAATGGGTGGAACACTTTCCCTTAATCCATATTTGATGTAGATTTTATGAAGCAGTGTTAGCCACTTGGTGGGTTCCATTGTATCTGGTTTGTTTGTGTATTGTTATTGTTTTTGTTTGTATGTTTGTTCTTATAGGTAAAAGGTGAAGCTGTAAAGAATTTTTCAACAATTCATCTCCTTACAACCCTCTGGGAATATTGGAAAATGGTAAGTCGAGGGAAACAAGACCTATGGGCTTAATGAAGCCATGAAGCAGAGTATGCAATGTGGCACAAAGGTGTTTGGAGTCATCCACAAGATTTTGTCTGAGGATTATCAATGGTCACAAGGAAGAGAAAACATGAGATGATGAACCTGATGAAAAGTGATGCTTAAAAGATAAAAAAGAAAATCTCCCATTAAGAAATAGACAAGCTAGATTTTCTTAACCCTATCGCTACGGCTCTTCCTATGGTCAGGGGTCAAAGGTATTTCATCACATTTGTAGACTTACATTAAAAATTTTATTGAACTACTATTTTATGAATGTATATCCATAAGTGTGGTATCAAATTGTAGATCATAATTCAAATTTTAGTATTATACATTAGTTAATTTCTTAATTTAAAAGTAAAAAATTCCTAAACATCAAGTTTTGTGTGTTACATGGTATGTTGAATGCAGCTTTGGTTCAAACTAGATGTTTGTGATGTCCAAATATGAAGTCTATAGTTTCTTATGAATTAAAACTCAAACTACCAATATTGACAAGCTAAAATATAAAATAAGAATCTCATATCATTTATGTTTGCTGAGATATCACTATATTTAGTGAATCAAACACTATGGTCCTGTCCACTTCTTCCATTTTTGGAAATACTTCCTTCTGCACATCTGCTTCACTCTGTTATGAATTTATAACCAATCAAAAGCTCAGAATTTCTCCCACCTGATTTTCTCAGGCTCTTGAAGGTGGAAAGTTCCCAAGATTATTTCTTTTGTCTCAAATCTTGGAAGGAAAGGGTTTGTGAAAATATTGTTAAAAAAAGAATATTTTTTACACCCAAATACAGTTTAGTTAGTAAGCCTGATAAATTACAGTGGAATTCTGAAACATCGATAGAGTAATTTATAATTTTTTGTTATTTCAGAATGCATATATAAAACTTAAAAAAATTATTTTGTTTACATCCTCCATGTGTGAAATTTGGCATGCAAGGTATGGCAAGCAATTACAAATTTCTTTAGAACCAAAAGAAGTAGAGATCATTGTTTTCTATATTTATTTCTTGACTGTTCTATGTTTTAAGAAAATAATGGATATTTAAGAACTTATCTGTAAATAGTAATAATATATAAATACATACATAATGTATTATAACAAAAATGTATTTTACAAAAATACTGGTCCACTGGAACAAAGCCATGACAGGTCACTTCATAAAGGCCAGTTTTATACTATTGGATATGGTAACCTGAGTGCATGTGCACCACATCATTGCAACTTCTGTAATGTTAGTCAGACATGGCTGAAAGGTCAATAAAATAAAAATAATAAATATATATAGATGTATAATTTTATGAGATGTAAGCTATTTAGACTAAACACTTGTGGTTTCTTGTTATAATATGTAGTCATTCTAGAATGAAAAAAGCGTAATTTATATCTACTTTCTAATTTTTTATGGTTGTTACAATGTTGGTAAAATTAACCAAACCCATATAAAAATATAATAGTGAAAATAACAGATAAAATATAGTTTTTCTTCTATACGAAAACGTTTGATAATTATCGGGACGTTATTAGCAAGTTATAAAGATTTTGCATGTGAAATTTGACAATTTTCTTATGCATAAAAGTATTTTGAATCTTAAAATCAAAATTACTCTGCATAATGTATAGTCAACATTAAAAAAAATGCACAAGCAAATCATTACTTAAAAAATATTGAAATTAATAAAAAATCTGATATTTTGTGTACAAAAGCCTTCTAGTGTTAACTGACAATCAGCAAACTTTCGTGAATATATGCATACTGTATTAAAATTTATGTATCAAAACTATAACAAGCACAATATTTTTACAAGGTCAATCCCTGAGACTGAGCCCATAGTGAGAGACTTAACCCATTCAATCAAAGTGGAAGTAGATAAATTACAAGAAGTAAAAGAACCCCATGGCAGAAAATAAAGTGAGGTAACAGCATACTAAATGCACAGGACCAAGGAGACAATTGGGGTCTGAATGATTGAACAGAGAAGAAAATAAAGGGAGAATAAGTGGAGAAAATGTCTGTTACCTCCTGGGTAACCCAAATCTTGGAAAGGAAGGAGTGATCTGGGAATAAAATCAATCTGTTTTTGTGAAGATGAAGGTGTGGCATGTTGTGGTAAAAGTTGGACCTCCAACAGCAATTAGAAGCACCTGAAATGCCAAAATGCAAAGGATGGAAACCACAGATGAACTAGCCAATTTGGGAGGAGTGGTAAAACCTAGCAAGGGGTACTGGGAGTGAGGGACAGCAAGTCAAAGTGGAGGAAAGGCATACAAAAAGAAGCTGGACAAATCCAGAATCAGGCTCCCAAAGTAGGAACAAGTTCACTGAAGCACTAGAGTATGAAAGAATCTGTAGGAAGAATCTGATCAGGTCTAGACAGCTGACCTAATACTAACTTCAATACTCTCGAGAAATGGCAGGCTTATAACCACATGTGATGATTATGGGCCCAAAAAAGGAGTTGTGGATAAAAAAAAACAAGGTATTGAGAGCAAGTATACCTCCCTGTTGATTGATGTATGAAATAACAATCAATATTTTTTTCTGAATGGATATTACAAGATGACCAGATAGATGTCACATAAGATTGTAACTGGTAGGTCCATTGAACTGCTAAATCTCAAGGATGTTGATGTGGAAAACTACTCCTCTGGAACTCAAATAATGGAAATGAGGAAAGCATCCAGAACCAGCATCCAGATGAGAAGTGTCCATAAACAAATGCAAGTCCAGAAGAAGTGGGGAAAGAAGGATGTCCAGTGTCATTTAGGATGATCAAGTCACAACAACAGCAAGTAGTGAAGAGAGGGGGGGGGGGGAGAGACATGAGAGAAGTCAGTGAATTTCTGGACATATTCGCCTGATATGACAGTGTCCACTGAAGGGCAGGTCTGAGAGGGATAAGAGGCTTGAGAGAAACTGGAGTTGCCAAAAGAGACAGAACCTCTTGTATAGGAACAGGTAGAGACACGAGAGCTTTGGTAATAATAAATTCCATGTCTTGAAAAGAAGAAGGCTGAGCCTACCCAACAAACAAAAAACTCACAAGTGAATTAGATACTGAGTGGGGGTCAATAATGATTTGAAAAGCTTGACCAGCCAATCGAAATGAGATGATTCCTGAAGAAAAAGAGAGGTCATAGCAGAGTTTGTCTTCCATTATGAGGCAAGGAGCCAATTGTCCATA